CGGCCCCGCCCCGGGGAACCGGGCGGGCTCGGGCTGCCCGGGTCTCTGTCAGCTGCAGCACGAATTCGTAGACACTTCCAGGCCAGAACCCGGTTGCGGGGCGGCCCGAGCACCCCCAGTACAGCCCATGGGAGGCTGGGGTCTCCTGCCAGCACCAGGGCTGTGCCTGTGACCCCAGAGCCGTGGAAACGGCTGGAAATGTTGCGATTGCACGAGAGAATGGTGAAAGAGAGAACATTTCCCCGGGCCTCTGGTACCTACAGCTGCAGAAAAAGCATCCCCCGCACCTACGGGAAGCCGGTTCCTTGTCCAAGAGGAGGAGCCGCAGTTCAGCGGCTTCTCGCCCTCCTGGAGAGCCCAGGAGATGGGAAACACACCAGCATGAGCAACACAATCGCCAAAACCCTGCAGAACCCTCCCTTCCGCTGCTCCCACACACGTGGAAATACCCTGTCCGGCAGGAAGGGCCTGGGTAAACACGGCCCTGCGGGGAGAGCGGGGGTCCCTGGGGCTGGGGACAGCAGCAGGGCACAGCCCGGGCAGGCAGCTCGTGTTAGCCCATGGAAGGCTACCCACAGCACAGGGTTTAACAAGGAGCTTTTCCCCCTGCACAGCTCCTCGTTCCACCCAGTTACGGGGTCTTTCGAGGTGGGCAGGAGGCCCCGGGATAAACGGCCCTGGCCCAGCCTCGGCTCAGGACAGCGCTGGGGCTCGATAAGCACAGAGACAACACAGCCAGGCAGGGTCACACCGGCCTTGCTGTGCAAACCAGCCCTGCCCAGCCCCTGCCTCTGGCCACAGAGCTGACAGGATGCTGGACAGAAACGCCTGAGCTCCCAGCTGTTCCTGTGTTCAGTGTAGGTCAGGGATGAGGGGCTGCCCCCGAGCCCCCTCACTGAGGAAGCAGAAAACAGATCACAGCGTTTGTTGTGGAGTTCATTTTATTTATACAGTGACTGTCAGCAACGTTTCATCCGGGCAGCAGAACACAGCAGGACTCATGTCAAAGCTCCACGCTTTGATTTCACCCTTCAGTCTGCCAACACCTCTGTGCATGCCCACCACATCCTCCTGTAACGAGTGCCCAGGGCCTGCCCAAGTGCAGCACATGTGGCTCACACACGTGCACAGTGCAGTGTGCAAGGCACACCAAACTTTCTCACCTAATTTCAAGCAGCCTGGCACCTCGAGGCATCTCCTCCTTTCTTCCAGATTAGTGAGTCTCGTTATGGTTCTAATCTGCTCATACACAAATGGCTCCACTGCGAGAACTGAACGCGACAGTCACACTCAGCACTAACACACGCCACTGCTGCTACAGCTACATCAAGTTGAGGAGTGCAAGGAAATATTGACAGCTTGGACAGGAAAGAAAGCAACAGCCAATGCAGGGACACACCACAGAGACCCCCTTGCCATGGAGCTGTTTTGGCAAGACTGGGCCACTGCTCTCCCTTAAAGGGCTCCTCAGACCTGAGTGCACAGGACAACGTGAGTCACTGGTACATCCATCTGTGCAAAAGCTGCCTCCACCAATGCCCAGCCCACACATACACTATGATGTGCCTCAAGGACTTTGATTTCAAACCAGAAACACCAGAATTTTCACTGCCAGTGGCAGTACATGCAGTCACCAGTGACAGTCTGCATCAAGACTCATCCCTCCCCATCTTGCCCCAGGCCACAATCAGGCAGCTGAGTCCCAGTGCATGAGGACTCCTCACCACTGCCTCCAGCAGCAAGAGGGAGAGCAGCCCTCACTCTTCTCAA